TCGTGGTTTTAACTGCTTTTCCACGTCAGCCCACACGTTTCTATTTCTGATACGCCGCCACGCTGGACTTTAAATACATCATCAGATAACTGCATTATAAACTGATAGTATTAGCAATGCCCTTAATGACCGCGGACTTGGTAGCCGGTTGTTGCGCGCCTTAGCCACCGGCCGATATTAGCTGCCCGCCGCCTTCAGCCGGGCACCACATGCTGCCCGCGCCTTGGCCGCCCAGGGTTCCCGATGGCTGCCGCCGTCGGCAAGCCGCCGACACCAAGCGTGTTTGTTGCGTGTGTACATGCTTCTTTCCATCTCTTCCATGTTGTTTCGCTTCCTTTGAATCATTCCCTTCTGATTAAGAGAGTGGCTTGCCTTGAGTGGTGTTTGGAAGTCTGTAAGCATTTTTTGATGCCTACAATTATGCTTCGAATTCCTGACTTGCATATCTTCTTTGGTGAAAGCGATGCAAAGAAATTTGGTGGCTGCCAGATTGCAATGCTGCACTGATGACTCTGGCTTTTCAGGAGTTGGCTTGATTTGAGTGAGGAATATCTCAGAATCAGCCAAAGCTTCTTGTAAAGCTTCTCTGGTTTCTTTTGAGAGGCGCAACAACTCGTATAGCGTAATCCTTACTGGGATATTGGCCAGCTGAGCCATAACGTCGAAACGATATGGTGCGTCCGAGCTTTCCGGTTTATCTCGTCCAATCGGTCGGCTGAAACGAGACTGCTTCGAAATTTGAACCTCTTTATGTTGGGGTTCTTTCTCTTTTTGCTTAGCCGGTTGTTGTGGCTTTTCAGCAGCTACTGGAGGAGTTGTAACTATCCCTATCTCCTTCAGAGTTGTAGCATTTGGGTTAGAAGTCTCAGGATATTTATAATGGTACTCATTCCCACTTCTCGTAGCGAAAACTTCCTGTTCTCCATCAGAAAGTGATAAAGCTGCTATCTCCTCATCGTTCCTCTCGGGAATCGCCGAGGCTCCGTATTTTCCTTTGCCTTTTGACTTCTTCTTCGACGTGGATGTTGTCCACTGTTCATCTTCAAGCAAATCCGGATGAAACCAAAGGATTTCGCCGTTGGGGGTTGTGTGAGATACAAGCCCTTTTTGGCGCTGTCCATGGGGGTCATCGTTGATGGTTTGCACTTTGACCTTTGATACTGGCTCGACTTGAAACCAGGACAAAGGAACCGATCCGAAGCTAATTGAGACTGCGTTTGCGCCTACTTTTTTCTCCTTTGGCTTCAGCGTCACAATACCAACATCGATTAATGTGTGTATTTTATCTTTTAATACATAACACGTCTTGGTGGGATGGTGGACCCTCCTGTGATATGCACAATATTTTGGGTCATTGATCTTCGTTGCTTCTTCTTGGTTTGTGACCGGTGGAAGCTTGATCTTGTTATTCTCCAACAAGTATTTGAAGATGACTGGAACTTCATCATCTTTGAAAGAGTATTCCTTCGGAAATCTATTCTCAGAAGTCTTGGGCTGCCTCGGGGGCTGCTGATTCTGATTTGGCGCCAATTGGAAGGATGACTGCTGCGGTTGTTGTTGCGGCGGCTGTTGCGACGTTTGATGTGCATCCACAGCTGCCGTGGACCCTCTTCCTCTACCTCGAGGATTAAAGTTCTGCTTTTGATTATTAGCTGGTGGCAGATTCTTTCTCTTGAGAAAGCGTTCAGCTTGTTCACCTCTCACTTTCAATTCTTTCCAAGTTTTAGAGGGCACAACCCCCATCACCTCTAACACATCCAATGACAAGTTGTTGTGACATGTCTGTAGGATGAACTCTTCTGTGAGTGGATCTCTGCAGTTCACCGCTTTGTCCCGGAATCGTTTGACAAAGACGTCAACCGATTCCCCATCCTTCTGCTTTTCATCCAATAACGTGCCAATCGAGACCTCTGTGTCGTCGTCGAAGAAATTGGTGAGGAATAGTTCTTCCATATCTTCCCAGCTAGTGATACTCCCGGGCTTAAGGCGTCGGTACCAATCGAAGGCAGGCCCGCGAAGGGTTTCTACGAATGACCGGACCATCAGGGCTTCGTTCCCGGATATTGCGCCGAGATGCGACTTGAAATAGATCAAGTGCTGAGTTGGTGAACCCCTGCCATCAAAAGGAGTAAAGTTAATCAAATTAAATTTCTGGGGATAAGGAATCAGGTCCCACTCCCTCGGTACGGGTATGGAATTCCCGTTTTCTTCACTTCTTGAGCCGTCATCAAAGCGTTGACTTTGCTCTCGAGATCATGCATCTTCTTGTCCTCTTCCTCGCTTTTCTTCAAATAGATCTATGGAGGTTAAGTGGATGACTTGGTCGGACCGTTTCCGGAGTTGTCTTTATCTGGAGGAGGATCGTCAAAGATAGTCTCATCCTCTTCATTACGCCGACTGGATTCCGCCTTCTGGCTCGACTCCGGTTGGTGTTGCTGAACCTGCAAGTCTCGCATCTGCTGCATAGTCAATTCCATTTCGGTTTTGAACTCAGCTCTAATTTCCTCGCGTTGTTTAGCCAACGCTTCCTGCAGCATGTGAGCCAATTGATCTGGCGTAATTGCAAATGATTCTCTGGCTTGTCCAACACTGGATGTGGTGTCGTCAGAAGCGACAGCAGAACAAGTGTCTGATAATTCTTCGTCCGAAGATAACCCCTCGTGCATTCTCTTGTAATCTCGTCGTAGGTTGGCCCGCGACATTCTTTGAGAAAGACCCCGCTCAACTCTCCCTCCCGGAGAGAAATCAGGGTCGTAGTTAACTGACTTTTGCTTTCCTTTATTGGTCATGTTGATAGTGACCTCAGGGAACTCATCTTGTCGGATTACAGGTTTCTTTTTGTTGAAACGTCTTGTTTTGGGTCTTGACGCTTCATTGGACAATCTTTGAAATACGGAGACTCTTGTTGAATTATTCTTAGAGCATCCGCATTCTGTCAACACTGCTTTAATGAGTCTCGCAAGCGCAATGAGACTCGTTTTCTCTGACAACCCTCTTTCTTGAGTTATCTTTCTGATAATACAGCTCATCATTATTGTGATTGAGCAACTTATCTTTTGCCTTTGAACTTTGTTAACATGCACAGGACGACTGGTCGTCACCTCTGAGCGATCCAAAGTTGAATTTTTAAATCCACCCCCTTGCGGGTGTGGAGTTTTCAGAGGTCCTAAATGAGAGTGAACTGGTATTCTCTCGTTCTGGACTTGTGCAGTTCTGACAGGTGGGTGTTTACGACCCCCTGTATATGAAACCACCACGGGTTTATTTGCTGGACTTGGTTGTTCTTTGGCTGGGGCTTTGCCTCGATTGTCAACTGAAGGACCGAGACGATCCGCCATTGTTATCTTAAACTTGGACAAATCTGGGCTAACCCAGGGTTTCACTGGTGATGAAGTAGACGGGCCCGGAACAGATGCTTGCGGCGTCTTCGGCATCCAAACTTTACGATTCTTCGGTGGCCTTTCAGACACCCTCTTCCATCATAAGCTATGCAGAAATATGATTATCTTGCCGTTGAGGCAACTGAATCATTTTCTGCCTCCTCGACTCTAGGTCCGCATAGTAATGGACCCCGTCGGTTTGTTGCATGGCTTTAGCCAATTGTCGAGCACGGCGCTGGCGCTGTCTCTGACGAGCTCTCTTCGTCAGCACCGACGAGCTATTCATCATCGACTCCTGAATGGGTGTGGAGTCGTTCGGAGCAGAGATGTTGCAGATAGATTCTTTAGCAACATCCGGGCAAGAACTTTCACCTGCGGTCTTCATTGACACTGCAGACTTGAGCTTTTTTCTGGGAGATGAAACTTTCCTACATTTGCGGGGTGAGGAAAGTTTTGATGATGAGGACGACAAGTACTCCTCAAATTTCGCCTGATCGAATTCGTATTCGATCTCTTCATTGACGATGATCTTGACCGCAGCCTCGGCAGCGAGGCCGCTGGCTCCCACTGTGGTCGCCAGCTTGTTTGAGTCAAAAGTCGGTTCTGTTGAGGAATTCATTATAACTTTGTTTGATTACAACAAATTCGAAAGAATAATCTTTTTATAAGACTTTTTCTACACAATAAAATGAAAATTACAACTATTGAGAAACAAACACAAAAATCGTCTATCGATCTTTGTTTTCGTGGGACTTTGCCTGTGCCGGGAACGCTTTGGTTCGTAGACCGCCGAATCACAGATCGTGAAGGGGGGTTTACTGATTCTGACTTCATTTATCGAAGTGAGAAATTGAAACGATATCTTATCGAAGTAAGATAGTCGTTCTTCTTAAAATCAAGTCAAAGCTTAATTTCAAGGCGTTGTATGAAAACTCAAATCTGCTCTCTCTGCTCTGGAATGCTCGAAAATATGCTCGATCCCCCTCAGAAATGACCCTAGGGGGGTATTTATAGCCTCTGGGGTAATAACTGCACAAAACTCAAACAAACGAAGAAGTTAGCTGGCGAGACAGTGTTTACTGTCTCGCTGGTCGAGACAGTGTTGCTGGCGAGACAGCAAAGCCTGTCTCGCTGGCGAGACAGCAAAGCCTGTCTCGCTGGCGAGACAGCAAATACTGTCTCGCTGGCGAGACAGCGAAGCCTGTCTCGCTGGCGAGACAGTTCATTCCTGACTTGATCTTCAATATGAGATCCCTTTGAGTGATTTTCTCTATGTTTGGGATATCTATTAGCATTTTTTGACGCCTACAAAGACGCCCTTGATCTTTCGTCAGCCCAGAAAACACTCCTCATTTGTCCACTACTGTCCACTTCTATTGCAAAATAGAATTCTGGATCATTCGCTGTCATACTCTGAAAATGTCGAATGATAGATATGCATTCATGGCCAATATTGTTGACTCTCTGGTATCTGATGTGATCAATACACTGTTGTGGTGTCACTAATTCGCCTTCTCTTCCATTGGTTGTATTAATGACGCGAGAAATAGTGGATGTAGGCATACCTTCTTCTTGCAGACTCTCAATAAGTTTTTTACAACTTTGAGTTTTATGGAATTGTTAGTGTGATCTGTGCATCTTTGCTTTGTCTGGACTACTCAACACATGATTTGTATGTTCTTCAACAAACCCTGTGACCTCCCACGATTTGTCCTCCAATACTTTAACTCTCATCATTGCCTTACATCCCACTCGGGTCTCTCGCCGAAAAGGCATCTCCATCTTGTCTCTATTAGATCTATAGCCCTCCTTATCACAAACAAACTTTCTGTCTAACACGTCTCTTGTCTTCTTCGAGTAATTTACCGTGCTCTTCCTTATTCCAAAACCCATCAACAATGCGTAATGGTTATAATAGTTATAAGCTTCTTCATAAGTACTAAACTTCATTCCGAGTAGTGGCTTAGGAGCATTTTCTGTATTGATAGGAATTTCAATTTCAATTCCTCTAGCATTTGATTCTCCCATTTCGAACACTTTATTTGCTGTACAAGAAATGCAAAGAAGAAAAAATTGATATTTTGCCATAAGCGTAATAACACAGCATGGATTATATATTGCTGAGATTATAAGGCGAGGAGAAAAGGCACATAAATCATATAGCCATCCAATTTTACTAATTAGATGGTTAATGTAATTTTGTAGTTAACACCATATCCCCTATGAATTGTGCTAATTTCCACTTGACAAATCATATATAACTATCCATTAAATGATAGATTTGAAAATTTGTTCTCTCTAGCTACTATATTGCTTAGTTACAATAGTCCTGACCCTAACCATAACCATAAGCAAAAAGTAACTGAAAAGAACAGAAAGGCCTAGTTGACAATTATATATGACCTTGCTTGGATTTTTGTTGCAGAGAATCTCAAGAGTTTGCATCCATAAAACCTTTCTCTTACTTACATAAGTACTCTTTTTTTTATTTTATTGTTTGCCAAATACTATTTAATTCTCCAGAATATTAAACAGTAACTAAAGCCAACAAATAAAGAAATCTGTAATGACCAGCGACGAAGTTTTTGAATTCAAAGAATATTCTGGCCGCATCCGATCAAAATTCAAAGTAAAAAGGGCAAGAAAAAAAAGGAAGAGAAATTACCGCGGTGGTGGATGGGGTCACGACCGATGAAGTTAGAGAGAGGGCGATGGCCGGTGGCGGTGCGCTGCTAGGTCTGGGGTCACCCGCGACAGAGAGGGAGCGGAGAGGAATCGTGGCGGCTCTTCGGTGCGCTGCTAGGTCTGGGGTCACCCGCGACGGAGAGGGAGCGGAGAGGAATCGTGGCGGCTCTTTTAGTCTTCGAATGTCGGGGATCTGAGAGAGATCGACGAAATGGTGGGATTTGGGTGGGGGGATTTGGGGCTCTTTTAGTCTTCGTTTCTGGTCATTTCGTCGATCTGAGATTTGGGGGGAGCTGTGTTCCTTTGGGGAGAGAGAGGGGGATCTGTGAGCTGGCTCAGCGGTTTTAACTCTGCCCACCTTGAGAATCGCGATGGAAATTTTCAAAAACATCCCTACAGCGCACGCTCAGAAGAGCTGCCCAGCGCTCCTGCAGTTTTCTCTCTCTCTCTCTCTCTCTCTCTCTCTCTATATATATATATATAATATATAATATAATATATATATATATAATATATATATATATATATATATTAGTAAATATAAAGAAAAAAAGAGATGCCAGCTCCCGCCCGTGAGCTGACAGTCTATGAACAATTAGTGAGTGGCCCTACTAGCTCACATCTAGTAGGGGCATCACATGTATAGGCTGATCAGCCTCACGGTGGCAGTAGCTGACCAGCTCTTCTCCAACAAACTCTCTCTCTCTATTCTCCTCTCTCTCTCTCTCTATATATATATATATATATATATATATATATATATATATATATATATATATATATATATATATATGATATAATATATATAGATATATATATATATATATAGTATATATATACTATATATATATATTTATAGTATATATATTTAATATATATATATATATATTATATTATATATATATATATACTATATATATATATATATATATATATATATATATATATAATTTTTTTCATGGTGTACATCTAAATTTTTTTCAAATGGATTTTAACAAAAAACTTTCTAAGTGTTCTAAAATTTTTTAGGTTGGGATTATAATATTTTATTCAGGATATTTAAATACTTTAACATGTTGAAGGCTAGTATTTGCAAAATGGGAAAAAATGTTAATATAAACTATTTACAAGTCATGCAAATGAACTTCGAACAAAACATCAATAGTTATTTTGTTAAGGGCTATTTTGATATTTGTGCTTCAAATCTTCAATAACTCCATACTAGCCTCTATAGTCTTTAAAATTGCTCATATGTCCCTCAAGTCTTGATACCCATCAACTATTACTTTTCCCACAAAGGACTCCAATCTCACAAAACCAAAAAATGAGACCCCTCAACCAAACTCCCAATGGGCATGTCAATCGCTTAATTAATGAGCAGAATACTCATCAACTATTATTTCTATCACAAAGGACTCTAAAATCCCAAAACCAAAAACTAGGTCTCGAATGCTAATCCTAACTATAACCCTTCTAGCCTCCTCCTCCTTTTTTATAGAGGGATAGTGTGGAGGGTGGATATTTTTTAGCTCACTTTCTCTTTCCTCTTTTGTCCTTCCCATTTGGAAATATTTTTCACTCTAGATTCCTAGTTCATCTTGTATTATATCTCTCCTCACTTTACCTAAGCCCCTGAAAATCTTCTATCAAAGAAGAGTTTTAGTTGTCATTCACCTTGCCTTACCACTCCTACCAAACCAAGCCTTAAGATTTGATAGACATATGATAAATTTCAAATATTTCATTAATTAGTATAGAATTATTGAAGATTTGAGGGACTAATGGCTAAATAACCCTTTTTTAGTGAACAACTTAAGGGGGTGTTTGTTTACATGCAAGCGAATGATAAAAGTGAGAAAGTAAATTATTTTTAATATTTTAAGTCTTTGTTTCCATGTAAGTGCCTACCAAAATGAAACGCATGAAAGTTGTCATATAGGATTTGATACAATTTTGACTTCACCTAAAAAAATAGTCAAGTCATATAAAAGTGACAAAAATAATAACCAAATTTAACTATATTTACTAATTAATTCTATTTTGTTACATCATCTATACATTGCACTTTCGACAATAATTTTATTTTTTAAACAAACACAATATTTCACTTACATGCCGACATGGACGTGAACGTCATTTGAAAAAAAGTAACTTACAAATTTTCAATTCACTTTCTGATTGCCAAACAACTCCTAAGTGCATTGGTGCATGTAAAGTAAGAATTACTGATACTCCATCTATGAATTAGATTTTAAATTTCTCACTTTTGAACTTAATTCTCAAAACATAATAAATGATGTTTGTTTAGTATATTACAAAATCTCTCACGCTCATATCTACTCTTCTATACTTCAATACTTATAGGAGGATCCAAAAATTTATTGTTCATGCTATAGTTAAAAAAAACTACAGTGAATTTTTATAGTGAGAATAGTAAACCAAATCTGACCTCCGCGCTCGAAGTTACTATTATTGCTACAGATTTTTTTACTATAGCATAAACAATAATCATATTTGAGTCTGTATTTTTTTAAAGCTACTATTCATTCTATAGTATTTTACTGTATTATAAACAATAAAGTAAACTAAATGTATTAAAACGTGGATTCTCCTTTAAGTATAGAGCAGTAGATATGATTTTTTAAATCAAATGTATTAAATTTTAAATCATTCTTTAAGTATATAGAAGTCGATATGATTTCTAATTTTTAAGTGTACAATAATTAAATCAAATATGTTAAAACTTAGAGGAATGCAAGTTTAAATTACGGTGCTTAAAAAAATTTGGAATCATATTTTTCACGGGGTGCACTATATATATATATACTAGTTGGATTGCATGTGCAATGCACGTGGTAATTTTTTTAATTTTTTATTTTATTATTGATTCATTTCATTAAGATTTATTTAATTTAAACCATGTATCAAACATATGGATATAATTTAAAAATTCAAAATGATTGAATAATGAAATTACATTTATGTATTAACTGGGTGATAATAGATTGTTTGCATCCTTAACAATAGTAAATAATGAATAATTTTATAAAAGAATTTTATTTGATATACAACATTGAGTTTCAATCAGTCAATGCTACCTATATACAGGTGACAGTAGATGACCTATTTAATCATAATCATCCAATATAAATGCTATTAAAATAGCAGCATCAATTTTTTTCTTTAGTCCTACTTATTTCTATCTCCTCAAAACAATTAATAGTCATGCAACAAACAATTGAGATGCTATAAATATCTCTCTTTATAATTGGATATTTTGAGCTTTAATTGTTCTAAATTTCTTTCTAGTGGTAAGCTACTTATACCTATTACGAGCTTGAGATTTTCTGAATACATGTCTATGAAATTCATCGAATCAAAGTAAATTGTAAGATTTTAAAAAATTGCGAAGATAGTACATAATTTTTTAGAAGACAAATAACCAAAGAATCATACTCTTAAAACAACAGTTCTATCTTTGATAAAATCAATTGTAGATGAAACCAAAGGCGGAAAACCATGAGACTATAACTAAAAAAAATCAGAGTTGTCTTTACAGATGTGGATCAACTTTAATTAATATTTCCTTTAGAGATTACTTTAGATTAGACTCTAATAAGTTTCTTATTAGAATGAAATTTAGATGTCACATAGATCCACTGAAGTTGACTTGTCACAGGCTAAAAACAATGACATATAAAACTATTGGTTCACAAAATCCTCTTTTGAATCATTTGCTACCCGTGTTTTTTTAGTAAGTTGCCTGTATTTACGGCTTGTCCCGATGCACGGCAACGAGAAGGGTCTGCTAACCAACAACTTGTTCTTCCTTCTTTACCACCTAAATTAAAGTTTTCAAGTACGAAATTTAGTAAATGCTATTCTGGGAAAGGTATTTTTGGTAGTACTTAATAAAAATGAAGATTTTATAAACACATTTTATCTATGTTAGGCCTAAGAACAAATGACCATGTTAATGAAACACAATAACTAAGTGGCACAGAAGCACTTGGTTAGGAAATAGATAAAACATGTACTGGAGCAAGCATGAAGGAGGTAATTTTTTCAATAAAAAAGAAAGTAAAACAGGATGTATTCTATGACATAAACAGATGTAACAAACTTAATAGCAGACTCTCAAAGGAACAGTTAGCAAAATTAACTACCAGATTACCTATTGACGTTACCAAGAACTGGTGCCAACCCAGAACTATGTCCTGCTCCAGAACGCTATATGGAAGATAAAAAATGAGCAAGGTGTTGCTATGATAAATAAAAAGAAATCAAAACAAATGAAAACCTATATGCAATAAATTAATAGGTCTATATATGCAAGACTTACA